GGGGGGGGTGTGCGGGGGCAGGGGGGCCTCCTAGCTCCGACCTGCCGCTCTGGTAGAATCCCTTAATCCTGTGAGATCAGCCACACACTTGCTCTGTTCGAGTCTTGGATTCTCCGCCTTCCTCTTGGACTTCGGCTGCGACGACTTGGAGGGCAAACGCCTTTCAAAATGGCAAAAAGAACAAGAAAGACAACATGCCTGTGGAAGCCGTTCAGGGAGAGCTGACCGTTCTTCTTAAAACAAATTTGGAGCGATTGTGTGCATTCATTTCCAGCGTCAGTGCTATCTGCTGTGTTGGCAGTGATGCACTTTTGTTTAGAGACGCTAATTGAGCAATCACTGTGTCTCCATTTGCTGTCTTTTTGCTTTTACACACAGTTTGTCTCTTGCTCTGCTTTTTCTTATGTCTTTGCCTGGCCTCTATCAGGGACAGGCCTAGCATTTATATTTATCAATTGGGCTTTAGGGTCTCACTCAGGGACCCAATGATGCAATCACTCTGCCAGCCACGGGATTTGAACCAGTAACCTTCTGATTATGGAGGCCAAACCCTAACCCATCCTCCCTCCTCCACTCCTGTACTCTTATTTTTTTTTCCCCCACTTAATTGGTAACAAACTGCAGTCCTAAACAAAAAGCCCCCACCCGCACCCTACCCATTCCTGCTTGCCTTTGGTTCCATGTCCTCTCCTGTGATTTATATACGCTGGTCGGGACTCCAGGTCTCAGTTGCCCTGCACTTGCTTCCTTTCAGTGGGCGAGTTTGTGAGTGACGTCTTGCTGGTACCAGAGAAGTGCAGATTCTTCCACAAGGAAGGCATGGACGTCTGCGTGAGCCATCAGCAGTGGCACGGGGTCTCTAAGGAGGTAAGGCTCTGTTTCAGACACACCATACGCTCTGTGAGCTCTCCAATTCCATGGTTACCGTTAATTAGTATGGAAACGCATTCGTTATCGTTTTCTCCCTTTATTATTTATCTCATGAGGGTGACTATCTTTATTAGACATTTTTAATAATGGTTATTTGGCATATAAAATGTTTTCTTGCCTTTTCCTGACTGCCCTCCGTCCTTCTTAGAGTTCATAGACGTCTCTTCCACAGATTTCCATGATTCACACCGGTGTGCTTCCCTGCGTCCTGCCCTCTTGGCGTGTGGCGAAACTCACCTCCAGGCCCGATAGACCTCCTAGCAATCTAATTAAGGCCCCTCTATTAAAAATGCTTGACCGCGCTAGGAAATGTCTGTGCCCTATAAAGCCCTCTCCCTGTAATTGCTACATGTAGTTTTGGCAGTGATGGTCTTGCCGTGACGGAGTTTTCCAGGACTAGTCCTGTGTGCTGATGCCACAGGCAAGATTCAGCTGAAAACAAATTTTGACAGTTTGTTTATATTGAAAACATTTCAGTAGCACAGAGTATCTGGCTGCTAACTAGCTAGTTTGTGTCTGTTTCAAAAGTAGTGAAATATTAATACTAGTGTAAATATCTGTGACGTCACAGAATGCAGCCAGAGGTGTATCTGTGACGTCACAGAATGCAGCCAGAGGTGTATCTGTGACGTCACAGAATGCAGCCAGAGGTATTCTGATTTTTAATCCCTCCCCCCTCTCTTTACTAGCTTTTTTGCACCCCCTAATCAAATTGCCGTTATTTCAGTTCTGAGAAAAAGCCGTATCGGGATGCAAGCTATTCTGCTATAAACCTACCAGCTGAACTAAAATTACCATCACAAAGAATGAATTTGGGAACATTGTTGGAAGGTGTCATCGGAGAAAGGTGCAACACTCTGAGCATGTTAACGCCTGCTGAGTGACGAATTAGTCACAATCAGCAAAAGTTTCGGGAACACCTTGCAGATACCGATGTCCCAAGGAGAAACGGGGAGATTGGGGAGTGAATGCTTAATAGTGTGTGAACGTCCTCATTCATGACCCATCTTTCTGCCATTCAGGCTTGCGCCAAGAGCGGTATGGTCCTGCATAGCTACGGCATGCTGCTCCCCTGCGGCGTCGACAAATTCCACGGCACGGAGTACGTGTGCTGCCCCCCCACCCACGCCGAGAGGCCCGCCCCACAGCCGCAGCCGTCTCAAGAGGAGGAAGACGAGGAGGGCGACAAGGATGACGACGAAGAGGACCTGATGGAGCTGGACGAGGATGAGGACGAAGATGAAGAGGAGGAGAGGTGAGCTTAGGTCCAACCCATGGTTGTTCAAGCAGATTGAAAAAATGTCTGCAGATCGAAATCGCAATTCCTTAACAGCTCCAGTGACTTAGTCTGCTAGATTACGGCCCTTTTTTTTTTTTTTTACATTGTGTTGAGAGACCGAGCGACCATTCCTAATCAGAGTGACAAACGAGCAGCTTCACCAGAGCATAAAACACAAACCGCATTCACTCTAATGAAGGGAAGGGGTGACATTGTTTTGATAGCCGGTTTGGTACAATCGAGAGCCAGAGATGAATAATGACGTATGTTACACCCAAAGCTGTGCATAGTTACATTAGAATGCTGTTTCCCTTTTTTTTTTTTTGCATTTCCAGTGAGACCCCAGCTCAGGAACAACCAACTCGGAAGGTCGAGGAAGTGGAGGATGACGAAGATGAGGGAGATGAAGAGGAGGATGAGGAGGAGGAAGAAGAGACGGACTACGCAGACTATGAGGGAGACAACGATGAAGAGAAGGAGTCAAAGGAAAAGAACAGAGAGAGCCCACCTGCAGACTCATCACTGCAGGAGGTCAAAGGTCAGTGTCCTGTCTCACATTCGAGGCCGGTCTCGCATTTCATTCCTGCATGTGCCCCCATGTCATTCTGTAATGCACCACATCATAAAACCACAATTGATTTCTTTTTGCTCCCATACCTCTCGTTGAACATTCAGTTTCAACGTATTTTATTCCATGTTTTTAAGGGCGAATTCTTGCAAAAATGTAATGATTCTATGCATCAGTTTTTCACTATTAAAATCAGCATAAAATAGCGCTCCTGGCCTTTTTATTGTAAGTAATAAGTTGCCACAGTTTTATTTCCTGGTGTGCAAATGACAATACGTGCTTGGTAATTGCACACAATAGCCAGTGAGATTTCTGCCACCGCAGACGCTTACCTTTTTATAGCGTATCTGTAATGGCAAACCGAACATGAGAAATCAGGTAAGCGCTGACATGAAATGAATCAGAACAATCATTACTGGCACATTTGGGAGCAGATTCATTTTACTCGTAACATACTTCTGATAGAAACACAAATAGAAATGTTAGTTTTCCCTTTGCCTATTTCTGTTTACGATGCATGTAATACAGTTTCCTGTGGATATGTATTATATCATCTGGTAAATAACAAATTGAATTTTTATTTTTGTTTGAGATTTTCCTTTAAGAATTGATCTTTGTATCACTATTCATGAATCTCTGTGTAGGAATACCTCCAATGACCGTTTTATATTCACCAGTGTGGGCGTAGTCAGTTAAACAGAGAGGCTATTGGTCAGTGGGGTACTTGTCGGCTCTCTGTCGCCCCCGAGTGGCGGGATGCTCTAACCGCTGTCCCCTGGCAGCCGTGTGCTCCCTCCCCGCCGAGACGGGGCCGTGCCGCGCCTCCATGCCACGCTGGCACTTCGACTTGAGTCGGAAGAGATGCGTGCGCTTTGTGTACGGGGGCTGTGCCGGCAACCGGAACAATTTCGACTCTGAGGAGTACTGCATGGAGGTCTGCAGGCTGATGAGTAAGTCACACGCACCTGTGCTCTCTCACACAAACGCACGATATCGTTTGGCCCGCCCACTGACCCAAACAACCAATTAGCATACAGCCCCATCACAACCTCTTATACACATGCACACAGAATCCCCGCCCCCCAAACTAGAGGGTACGCTCCCATACGTCCCGGCCTGAGAGGTCAGCCCCCATACTCGGTCACGCCTGACACTCAATCTCAGCACTGCAGCACTGTCCGTCACGTCTTCCTGCTTCCCGCTGAAGTCTCTGATCCTCCTGTTCAGTCTTTTGCTGTCAATCCTTTCAGCTTGTCTGTGTGTTCGTCTGCAAAAAGGCAGCCGAGATTTGAGATGTTTATAAGATTGTACAGTTTTCTGTGCAGGCTTGAGCTCCCTGCGAAGCGGTCTTTATCAAAATCTTTTTATGCCAATATATTAAAATCCTCAAATTTCAAACTGTACACAGCTCAATGAAATTGCATACATGTATCCTTCAGACTTGAAGGATCAGAATACAAGAACGACAGATGACAATACATAACACCACTGCAATGCAAAAATCCACATTCTCATTCGAAAAGTTTTTTTTTTGTTTTTTTGGGGGGGGGGGATGAAGTCAGTTTATTTTAGTAGCAGAAATTATTGTACTGCATGATCTTAAAACCTCTTGTCCTGCATTTTAGTACCTCTTGAAGTTGGGGCTTTTTTTGGGCAGCAGTATTTTAATGTCACCATTCTCTCATTCCCGTGGTCATACCAACCATGTCAGTGACAGCTTGGTAGCATCAGTCTCCGTCATTCCACTTCAAACTGAACCTCTGTCATTCCTGATTTGCCGCCACTTTCTGGAATCCCCCTGCCCTTGAACGCCCGCTAATGCGCAGACATGCCCAGTGCCGATGGGCTTCCTCGGCCTCCTGAGCCTGTGTGCAGGCGACAGGAAGCTAATTGGAGGATAAACGGCGACAGGCGTGAGACTGACGGTCATCCAGATTAACGGCCTCGGTTCTGATCGCTCCTCTGCTCCCTGTGCATCTCTCGCACGGCTTTTCCTACCTCCCGCTTCTCGCGTGCGCACGTTCGGCCCGGCCCGGCCCGGCCTAATCGCTGACTGCTTCCTTCTCCTCGGACGCCCCGCAGTCCCGCCCACCCCTCAGCCCACCGACGAGGTGGACGTGTATTTCGAGACGCCGGCCGACGACAAGGAGCACAGCCGCTTCCAGAGGGCCAAGGAGCAGCTGGAGATCCGGCACCGCAACCGCATGGAGAGGGTGGGCAGACATCGGGTTCCGGCTCCCTCCGAACCTGTATCTCCATACCTCGCAATTTAGACTGATGCTTCTCCGTGTCTGACTCTTTCTGGGCGTGTAGCTAAGGAAGGAATGGGAGGACGCTGAACTGCAAGCGAAGAACCTCCCCAAGACGGAGAGGCAAACTCTGCTCCAGGTAGAGTGTCGGCTGGGGCGCCCCCAGTCCACCCGCGCCCGGGAGTCTCGCCTGCATGTTGACCAGGTGGCCGCGCGAAACACCAAAGCACCTACTGCCTTTGTGTTCCGACCCGCAGCACTTCCAAGCTATGGTGGAGTCTCTGGAAGAGGAAGCAGCCAGTGAAAAGCAGCAGCTGGTGGAGACCCACCTGGCCCGCGTGGAGGCTATGCTGAACGACAGGCGCCGCATAGCGCTGGAGAACTACCTGGCAGCCCTGCAGGCCGACCCCCCCAGGGTGAGGAGCTCCGGGGCCTGACGAAATCATGACAGTAGCTAGAAATGTCACCTTCTGGGGCCGACCACCTCTCTTATGTGTATAGGGGCTGCTGTGAAGTGCTGGGCCCTCTGGTCTGATGGAAAAAGTTCACTTTAGTGGCATTTATCAGTGCTAATCTTTTCACTTTGTTTGGCCAAAATGGCCATTTTTACTATGAAGGGTTGCTTTATTATTCCTAGATCGCTGTTTGGGGGACCAATAGCTCACATTACCTGGCAAGCTTAATTATCCAAAATGGCGGCTTTTTTAGGGGTGGTAAATGAACGCGGTTTTGTTTTTGTTTTTTTGTGAAAACGTGCAGTCCATTTGAGCCGAGTCTCTCCACAGCCCCATCGCATCCTGCAGGTGCTCCGGAGATACGTCCGCGCCGAGAATAAAGACCGCCAGCACACCATCCGCCATTACCAGCATGTGCTGGCCGTCGACCCCGATAAGGCCGCCCAGATGAAGTCCCAGGTCAGGCCCTCCGCCCGTCTCTCTGCTGCCCTGCCTCTACGCTGCATGGTGGTTGGGTGACGCGAACAATCGTGGGAGTTCCAGGGCAGGCTTGGAAGTTGCCTTAGTTGAGCAGAGAGGGGCTATAAAAATCAAGATGGCTAAGTCAGTGCTCTTTTGCAGTTGGCATAAGACTGTTTAGTGTAGGAAGTTCAGAAGACATTCACTGATTGGCTGGGACTCCTCTGCTGACAGAATGCTCCTGTTCTGCTAAACACCGAAGGCTTTAAGTTCTCCACCAGGCTGAGTCACGAGCATCTACCAGGAATGCATTTGATGCCTGAATGTTGGCATCTCTTCGCACGGAGTACATTTCCTTTCCTTTGACTTGGTTCACACATGTGTGTAAATCCTTGTAACATAGTCAGGCGGCGCTTTGCTTGTCCAAACACTCCTGCTTTGTGAAATTGGCATGTAAAATGCAGCAGACTAACCTGCCCCCCAGTTCATATCTCTGTCGACTCGCAGGTGTTCAGGATAATTCAGGCTTGTTTGGCTGGAGGGAAGTGGCAGGTGGTGATCTAATCTTCAAGGCTTGATTTCGGGGTGGGTGGATGGGGGGGAGGGGGGCAGTTTAACGTCCTTCCACGTTCGGCGTGATTCATCACCTGCTGCTGTGAGATACCATCGCCATGCAAACAGATGTTTTGAGTTTTTGAAAGCTTAAGCGGGCTGATGGGACTTTACCGCAGAAGCTGTAAAGCGTAGAAGCGCCCAGAGTGTTTTTGTGCAGCTGGAATCTATAGTTTATGTATAATCTGCTTATTATGCATTCTACATGGACATTCTTGGATATGACTTCTGAGAAAACACCTTAATGCAAAAACATATCCTGTCATCCATGGAACTGCTGGGATACACAGGACCATCTTCTTCGATTTTACGGTGTCATTTGTCAAGAAACTAAATCACATTTAAGTGCTTTTAAATACATTTAATAAAACGTTAAATTGAAGTGCTGCGTATATGCACCATACTGTGTTGTTTATGGGGTCTCTAGTGCCCCCTGCAGTTGGTTCATCAGTACTGCTCTTGTTTTGTTCATACTTCTGTCAACATCTCCTTTTGCAGGTGATGACCCACTTGCACGTGATTGAGGAGAGAATGAACCAGAGCTTGTCGCTGCTGTACAAAGTCCCGTATGTGGCTGAGGAGATCCAGGATGAAATCGGTGAGTGCATTTATAACGGGGGGGGAAAAAACCAATCAGTTTGTTATGATGTATTTTACAGCCAGTGGACTTGCAGAGCATGCAGCGATATAGAACTGTTCTCTTCGTGTATGGTTACCTGTGAAAATATAGGTTCCCCTTACAAATTCAGGCCTACATAACTGGTCTAAGTAGATAGTGCTGCTGCTACTACATTTTAAGAAGTGCTTCCACATGATTATACCTAAAAATTTGTAGTTGTAAGGCTTGTGTGTTCCTGCAGCACTGCTTCTATTAGTAACGGCATTATTGCTGACAATAAAGGAGAGTTATTATGTAGCTGAGGCAGTAAGTCAAGTGGCTCATTGCGCTGCCTCTCTCTCGCGAAGGCTATTGGCCATGATTCTCTCTGTCGTTGTGTTTTGGCCGTTACCTTTCAATGCCTCCCCTCATGCATTCAGGAATGGCCTCCAGTAGGTCTGTTGTAACGTTCTACCGCCAACCTCACAAAAGCTGTGTTTTAGGTCTTTTTGTCCTCCCCGTTCTTTAACTTATTTTTCACAAACTGCATATCAGTGCTGATTAAAGGAGCTGAGTGACAGAACTGGGTCGAGGCGCTCTTTGTGTGCCTGGCGGTCGGGAGACCTGCAGATCTCCCTGTGGAGAGCGGCCGCCCATGTGTGCCTGACGCGCTAGCTGGAGAAAGCAGCATCTTTCATTGATAACTTGTGCATCTTGGCCCCACTCCTGCATAGATGAGCTCCTACAGGAGCAGAAGGCAGACATGGACCAGTTCCTGTCCTCTATCTCCGAGTCCCAGCCCGACGTGACGGTGTCCTCAGAGGTGACTGTGGCTCGGGCCGGCTTGGAAGGAGAACCTTACCGGCCCTTCCAGGTCGACACGCTGGGTTCTCGGCAGGTGATCGAGGGTGAGTAATATCCAGCGTGTGCCTCAGGGCTGAGGGGAGGGGCATTCTGAGTGGCCTATAGCAAGGACTGAGGACAACCTCAGTCTCCCTTTTGACCCCCCACTCACTGTGCGATATTTTGAGCAAATCACTGGGTGTGTGTAAGAGGTCTAGGGGAACTTGTGGAGGCATAAGTATGTCTTTTGTAGTATAGGAGCAGACGGTCCAAATGCTCTTGGTCGACAGCCTAGTACGATTTAGTGCAGAGGTCTTAGGTGTAGACCAGGGTTCCCCAATTCTGTTCCAGGAGGGCCAGTCTCAGACATTTTAATCAGCTAATTGGCAGGTTTAATAGGTGTGTTTGAGCAGGGACGTCTGCAAGACTGACTGTCCAGGATCAAAATTGCAGAACCCTGATCTAGACTTCCTGGTTCTTTTTGGTTCCAGACTTGCAGTCAAATTAATTTGAAGATTTCAAAACCTAGTTGGTTCAGTTTGGGAATTGGTGAGTTCAGGGTAATGACATGCGTAATATCTGCATGGGCCACCTCTAGCTGTCAACCTCCATGTACTCCTGCATCTCCACACTTGCCTGCATAATTTTTCCCCCAGTCTCACCTCAGCACATTGGACCCCTTTTTGAATCCACCCTTTGATTCAGAGCTACGTAGCTCTGGTCCTGAAGGTGCTCCTTGTACGTGGGCTCATTAGCCAGTCGGATCCTTCACAAAAACAGCCTGTTTGTTTTTATTGTAAAAGCATGACTGGAAGTCATCGGCGGCACCTTTGCTTAAAGAAATTTGTGTTCTTTTGTAAAAAAAACTTCTTTTTTTTTGTGAGAAAATTGGCTGATCCATATCTAATGCGGAAATTGGCTGGAACAAAAGTCTGCGTAGACCGTCTCACGGGAATGAAAGCACTGTAGCAGAGCTCTGAATGTCCAGCCCTCCTTTTCTTTACTTTCAAATTCCACGTTGCAGTTTTTCTTAGCATTTTCCCCCCACGTACAAACACATTGTTACCCATTTTTACAGGATGTTTGAATAATGCTGGAGTTTCTGCCAAGCCTCAGTTAACGATAGGGTGACCTTCCATCCTTTCTGCTTTCCTGAGTTTCCTTTCTCCCTCTTTCCTGCCCTCTCTTTTGAATTATTATTATTATTTTTCTATTTCGCTGTCCCAATGGCTTAGGTCCACTTCCCGATTCCCCACGCGCCATCAAGAAAGGTTGGTGTTTCTGCTCTTCCTGTCACTCTCCTCCAGCATCCGTTCCCAAGACCTCCCCCTCCTCCCTTTGATATACCGGAGAGCCTTCCTTCCTTCCATTGCTAGTTTCCCTGTCATTTCCACCCCTTTGCACCTGCCTCACTTCAGTGTGTTCTTTTGGTCCATTTCTTCCCTCTCCAGCCTTGTGTTTATTGATCAGAACCACAGAGCAGATCGTCCCAGTGGCTTCCTGTGTCTCCCATCCAGTCTCGCTGTAATGTGCTGTCTGGCAGTGAGAGCAGTGCTGTCAGTCGACCCATATGTAAACGTCAGGATTTAACCTGGAGCAGTGATCAGTTTAGCTTTATTGATTTATTTTTGTTGATATATACATATATATATTTCCACCTGTCATCTCACATGCACGTCTTCTCATGACAACATATGCAACATCACCCGTCGATCTTCAGTGTATCAATTTGTACTGGACCTGTAGGTTCTGACTACGACGATGAGGCCATGATGTCTTGAATCATGATCATCCACCTGTATTCTGTTGTATTTAAACTCTAAAATAAAAGCAGGTGAAACTATGTACAAAACAGGAGTAGAAATTTTAGAATTTAGTTAACTTCCAGAGTTTGCACTTATGATATAAATGTAATAGTCACTGAGTGTGACTAGTTCGATTACATCACTTCAAGAGTCACGTTACGTGTAGAGCGTCAGAAGAATCACAAATGCAGCACATGGCCTTTGTGCTGATGAAGAAGCCCTGACGAGGTAGCATGACGTCCTTCCAGCATGTCCTTACTGGGTTTGTGGCTTTCGCAGGGTCTGGGATCTCAGGCCTCGACGGGCTGATCGGTGCCGAGGAGAGAGTCATTAACAGCAAGGGGAAGATGAACAACGACGTGGTAAGCGATTCGCTCCCCCACCTGAGTGCTCCAAAGGGTCCCACCCCACACACGAGCGAGTGACAGCTTCAGTAACCAGCTTCCCAGCTTCCGGTTCCTGTCTAATGCCACCCCGAGAAGCAATGGTTGCTAATTTTGTCGAAACTGTTGCTCCGATATTTGGTTGGTTGCTGCTTCTTTTTGTTTTGTTTGGTTGCTTGCTTGTTTTTGTTTTGTTTGGTTGCTTGTTTGGTTGCTTGCTTGTTTTATATTTACTCCCCACCGCAAAGTCTGAGCTTTATGAATCAAGTTCAGTATCAAACCACATACTTGCTGCATGCTGCCTGAGGTCAAGCATGGAAACGCTCGTTAATGTGCCGCCCTTGGATGTTCTCTCTTTCTCTCCCCACATCTCCTGGTGTGTTTTCTGTCCACGAGAATCCACGAGAAGGGGTGCCACATTCTGTTATTTGTCCTGTTATTATATAGCTTAGTGAAAAGTGTTCATTTTCACCACCAGCTGACTCATGGTCACTGTTTTACTCTGATGCCCAAGCACAGAGGTACCTTTCTTCCACCCTAAGCGTAGTGATTATCTTTTTAGCTACATTAGTTGGTTGGCATATATGTTTATTTTTAATAATTTTCTTTATATGTTTGTTTAATCAATTAAGTGTATGGCAGCAATATAGTACATGTCCTCCTGTACTGCTTGGTGTTCCTGTGCCTTGTGCACCTTCCCATCATTCTCAGTGTTGCGTATATTCGCTAAGTCATCGGTGCCCTTTGACAGTCCTCGCGCTTCCTTAAAAGAACGCACGGAACGTGGTATCGCTCTGCTGTAGGACGACCAAGAAAAGTCTGTGGACATTGCTGAAGCAAGCACTGTGGATCCTGAGGAGCAGAAGCTGCAGTTCTCGCTCAATACATCGTCCGCCCGCCCGCGCCCCTGTAAACGTGTGCCTAAGCGTGCGAGGTCTCAGAGAGTGTAACGTGGGCCTGCCTGTCTGTGTTGACAGGTGATTGATGAGTCTCTGGATGTTAAAGAGGTGATTTACAGTGCAGAGAGAGTCAACAGTGTGCATGATGATGAGCTGGTGAGTACAGCGCCCCCAGGTGGCAGCCTGAGGAAGTGTGGCTGGGGCTTGGAGATGTCGGGGTGGAGGATAATCATAGCTAGTAGAATATGAATTATTAAAATTTAATTCCCACTTCTCTGCTTTAGATTTAGAGCTTGGTTGGATTTGGTCAGATTCTCACTGCATGTATGCATGTTTTGTTTCATCACCTGTCATTGTGTTCTTGCATATCTAGGTATCTAATTTATGAAGAGATCCCAACAAATGTCTTGTAATTCTGATGTCTTCTGCAAAAGGAAAAATGGTCCTATCTGAGCAATTTAAATAGTCTGCTTATCTAAATCATGTAAGCAGTAGGTTTAGGTACCTCTACAATATGCAGTACACATTGTCATCAGTGATATACTTTGAATACCAATGATTCTGTCTTGCTTGTTCTGTTGTGCCTGCACTTTCCTGTTTTTCTCCTTGGCAAGTTAAAATCCTGGGTATTTTGCACAGGGTTTAGCTTCTGCTGCCCTCTTCATTCCCATCTGTCCGTCTGTCTTGGTCTCCTTTTCTCTCCACCCTTTATCTTTGGCTACGCTTGGTACATGTCTGTCTCCTTCCTCCCTTGAGAATACTATGAAACGAAGGCTATTGGCCATGATTCTCTTATTGCCACTCATTTATCGCTTTCTACAATAGGAATCATACCGGCCCCTGGGGGAGGAGTTTAGCTTTGGGAGCAGTGCTCTGATTGGTCTGCTGGTAATTGTTGTGGCCATAGCGACAGTGATTGTGATCAGCCTCGTCATGCTACGGAAGAGGCAGTATGGCACCATCAGCCATGGTATCGTGGAGGTGAGTTCGGCGACCTCAGGTAGACGTGTCACACTGTTTGCTATAAGCTTTACAATTTGTCTAAAAATCAGTAATTGTACAGTTACTTGTAAATTAATAAAAGTAAAATGTAATAGATTTATGTTGATCTCACCTGTTTGTGTAAATCACAAGTACTCAACTTCCAAACTTGCACAATACTATACAGAATATCAGCGAGCATCATCATCTGCATTAACTGTTAATTGATAAAATTAAGTCAGTAATGGCGCACATAGACCATAAGCCAGAGCAAAATTCTAGAAGCTTAAGGTGATGTTGTAGCAGTTCAGTGAAAGTAGGATATGTCATGCGTGTCCGTCAATTTTCTGTAAATGTGTTTGGGTACTGCAGTCTGATACTATCCTGTCTGGCCCAGATTGATCCCATGCTGAGCCCAGAGGAGCGCCACCTGAATAAGATGCAGAACCACGGCTATGAAAACCCCACCTACAAATACCTGGAGCAGATGCAGATCTAGCTCAGGGAGCCAGGGGGCGCTGTGGAGCAGAGAGAAGAGCAGTCGAGGGCAAACATACCACTAAACAATAACAATACTGTCCAAAAAATATTCTTCCTACATGACGATTGCAAATTGTGTCACATTATAAACCTTAATAAAATCTAAGTAATGCTACTATGGTTTTATCGTAGAACAGGTTACTTTTGTCCTCCCCCCTCTAAAAAGACAGCGTAACCATTTAAGACTCTTGTGGAATGTGATTTGACAAATTATTCAACAGTGAATGTTTCCAGAATAAGGAAAATTACTCAACTTGGGTTCATTCAGTATGTCGGGGTTTTTAAATTGCCAGACCAAGTGTGCAATTGGTTCACAACAACTAAATGTAATTTAATAAGTTGTTTAAAATTGTCAAAATGTCTAAACCTAGATTTTAAGGTTTTTTCTTTTCATTTTAATAGATTGCTTGTATATGAAGGTTCTTTGTACTGATTTTAATGTATAGTGAAACAAAAAGGGTTTTATTTTTTCCATTCTTTGCTATTAACTACAAACTAATGTATTTCTTAATACAAATAGGTGTTACTTCATTCCTCCTTTCCCCTCTCCCTAAAAAAGCTGATGTGTAGGATGCTGACTCAGCTTTTCTATGTAGGATGTGATGGTATCGATAGGAACACCTCGGGGAGCGTGTATGTGTGCGAGTCGATGGGGCCGCACAGCCCTCCAACCTCAAGCTCCCTTACCAAGCACAGGCAAACGGAAGCCCTGTGACATCACTCCTGAGCATGACACTCCACTTCCTATTCCGTTTGGATGGTGACAGCTGCGTCTCCCTCAAATGATTTGCCATTTGTTCAGTTTCAGTGAAACTGATTCATAAGGACCCTGGAATAGAGGAAATGAGGGAGGTTCTCGATTTAAAAGACATTTTCTGGCCCGACACAGTCTTGTGTGAATATATCAGTGCCAACACTGGCAGCCATAACATTTTCAGTTCTCTGGTGAAAGAACGGCAACGAAAAAGCACCATAGCACTGCACATGTATCACTTTAAATTATAAGCTCATTAATTTCTGTATAATACAGGGTGGAGCTCTAATATATAACAAATAAGAAATTTACCGTTGGTTATGTCTGGCAAAGGGTCATTGAGGGCTGGAGGCCTGTACAGACCAACAGTCAGGCCCAGTCAGCAGGTCTAACGGAGGCACAACCCGTTTCCCATGTAAATGATGCAAAGAGAGAACTGAATTTCTTTTCACACATAATAATGTCTTTGTATGCCTGTATAGTTGATGTCGCTGTCGTGGCTTTTATGGAAGACAACCTGTGGTGTGCATTGTTCTTATGACCTATATATATATATATATATTTTCCAGATTTGTTTTCTTTTTTATTTCCTATTCTGGATTCTGTTCCCTTCCCGTGGCAGTACCTCCTATGTATGTGGCTGTCTCACTATGCACCAAAATGGCTTAAAACCTTGTAAGTACCTGTTTAGTTGCAGGAGGAGTAAGAATGATTACAAATATACATACATTTTAAAATAAAGCAAAATTATGTTGATTGCAGAGGTGGGGGCGCATCAATAAATTCACTTTCTTCCATAGATGCTGTGAATTTCAGTCTGTGTTTCATTTTCTGTTGTTTTGTTGGTTGTCACAAACTCCTTACGTCTTCTTCTGTTTGGAGATCTTTAGTGTTTGAGCCAGTACAGGCTGTTCTCTGGGTTAAGAACGTCTGACTGACGGACTGCCATAAAAATTTGGGTTAAATACAATTGTTGATAACTAACACGCACACTGCTTTGTGATGCTTGTGAGGACATTGAACAAATTCAGCAGTTTATCGACTCAAAATGCAGTGCGAAACTGTATGCGCTTACCTTTATTACAGTACATTGTTATTATTTTGTGTCATTTTCCTGACTTGCCTCCAAATTAGGCTTAAAGGCAGACCTAGACAATGGATCTTGTTCAAAACCATTTAAGTTTTTGGAAGAAAGGTGTTGCATTTTGGTGTTTTAAAATGCAATTTTAGTATTACGTAGAGCTGTCGAGTTATATTTAACTACCCAGGAACTTCCGTTTTCTTCCGAAGTTCTGAATCGAGAGTAGCAACATTAGAGTACTATATTCCACCTAAATCATTTTACAACCCTTCAGTACCAGTCAAAAGTCTGGAGACATCTGCAGAAATTTTCTCAAGATAATAACCCTCACCTCAAGGTTATGTAATTACTATATTATCCTGTGAACAAGGAACGACATGGAGTGCTGTGACAGATGACCTGACCCCCCCCACCCCCCCCCCCCCCCGACCTAAACCCTATAGAGCTGGTTTGTGATAAGTTGGGTCAGAGAGTAAGAGTAACGTAGCCAACTGGTGCCCAGACCTTCTGGAAACTCCTTCAGGACTGTTGGAGAAGCATTCCAGGTGGCTACATCTGGAAGCTGGCTCAGAGAATGCCAAGAGTCTGTGGTACTGTCAAAGCTAAAGGAGGCTGTTTTGTAGAATCTGTAATTTGTGAAAGGGTTGAAATGTTGAACACTTCTCTTGGTTGTTGCAATATTAGACACATATTACTTCATCCCGACTGGGTTGGCACCCCACCCTCCAATACAAAGACATTTAATGCAGGTGTGTCCAGACTTTTGGCTGCCATTGTATATGTATGTAAAGCTCTATGTAAAACAGACAATACTGTACATCATAAAGTGTGAAAGTGCAAGTGTGTGGGATTTTGAGTCTAACGTGGAGTGGTACAGTGTAAACAGTTGTGTAAGCAACTGTAATAGGTAATGAATACATCTGCAAATATGTAAATAATATAATTATGAAATTGCTAGTTTCAGGTTTTTTTAATAGAAAACCTGAAATTACAAATCAAACAAACCCTACATAGAATACTGTACACTGAGAACAATTTTTATGATACAATAACAGATCACTTATGCATATTTAATATTTTCTAATAAACATACATAAAGCTTCTACCTGTTTATCCTGAGCTGGGTGGCTTGGAGTCGATTCCAGACAGCACAAGGTATAAAGTCAGGTTTGGCTGTAGGAGGAAATACATGCACATACACACGAGCAATTAGCATCTTCTACAATCTGATTGGTTATCTCTCTCAACCAATCATTTTTCCTCCTGCCCTGAGAACATTTTTTTGTAAGAAAAACTCCCACAATCCCTGACTGGATGAAGCTGGGAAGAATGGTTCCACTTTTTGTGTTGAGAGCATTAATCTCTATGATACATTTGGGGGAAACAGTCAGCATGGGGCAGAATACATACTGTTACTGTTAGAATGAAGCTCCTGAGAGTCTGAATGCTGAGCTTTGTAGTCCAGCAGAGGTGTCTGTGTTTTGCTAGCTGTTTCAATGAAGCAGAAATAGCACTGAACTTGCAAATATGCCTTTGATAAAAGTGTTCCAGTGCACTTGTACAAAGGGTAAATAAAGCATCATTTCATGTTTTTCCATGACTTTAATTTTTGGATAAATGGTACCTCTAGAGGGATCCATATTGGGAAAGTGATTCATATCACAGCCATAGCAATAGTGGTATGTTTACAGCTTCCTGTTTTTATGGATGCTTCCTATGACCTGACAGGTGGGCTTCTCGCCACGGCAACAGACTGACAGCTGAAGGCCTACTAGGGGAAGCATCTGAATTTCCAAAGTACATTACAGAGACAGAACACGTAGGCCAGGCATTCTCCTGATGTGCGGAACAGCAAGGCAAGTTGCTCTGTTAGAGCTGACTATTTCCCAGCAAAACCAAATGTAGAGGATACGGCACAGATACGAGGCCTCGTGGGTGAGTCATGTGGGGGTGAGGCTGGCAGGCACTGTGTTTGCTTGTCAAGATAAGCTGCGTAAGCTTTATGAAGCAGCCTATACATGGCCCTCAAACTCCTTGGCATCCCAGCAGGCGTAGGGAGGACCTCAAAATGGCTGTGGAGAGTTGATCTATGGTCCACAAAAGCTCCACACAAACTGAGAACCAGACAACCCTGGCTGGGAGAGGATGTACGATCGTCAAAAACCCAAAACACCCTGTGTCACCCTGTCCAAGAACTGCACTAGGTGTTTGAATTACCTAATCCAGTACTCTCTGTCCACCTCAGCTTCTCAGATAAATGGAGGACGAGGAACCTGAAGATTCCACTGGAGTGTCATCAGTGGTGATTGGCAAGTGACTCTTGCTGTGTTTTCAAAAGTCCACGAAATTCTCTTTTCTTACATTTCACATTCAGGGTGAGGTTGGTTGTTGTTACATCAGACCAACAGCACTACCATCTTGGATCCAGTACTAAGGTAGTTCCCAGTCTTTTGATGTCCACCGAATGGTTTACATCATGCCGGGGTCCAGTACGAGTGGTGTGTGGAAAGACGGAGATGTTTTTGTGGATCGATACAGGACACAGCATTTTATTGTTCAATAAACTCAGTTTTTCACTATGAGGTGATGCCGGGATGGTTGTTACTCCACCACCAGTGTTCCACACCCTGCTGAAACTACCCTGGGGAGAAATATACTGTATGAGCCCCCCCTTTTATCACTTGAAGTTTGGAAGTTCAGGACCCGATTGCAGGTGAAGTTTCAAGCCCAGTCCCCTCAGTTTGTCCACCAGCTTTTCTCACGCAATAACGCTGAAGCCTGAGCTGAAGTCTTCAGTGGAGCCAGGAATCATAACGTGGGCAGGCTGGCAGAAAATCTGGTTTGTCGGTCCCATAATAATTCACTTGCCGACAAAATCACACTCAACTACATATTTTTTTATCAGTTTTTAAATAACCTGGGGCATTACTACCACCAAATGAACAAGGAGAAAGAACAATCTTCTCAACAGCACTTTTCCTCCAACTGATCTAACCACGCACACAAATACCTTTCAGACAATCGTTTTTTTTTACTGTACTGCATCGCTCACTGTGAGCACTGAATGGGGGGGGGGGCTTGGGTCCTGGTGGGTGGGTCGCCGGGGTGTGGGTTGGCGCGTGCACTGGGGCCCGGCCCCGGTGCGGGGACCTTCGGCGCGTTGGAGGGGCTGGGGGCCTCTTTAGCTGGTGGGGAGGTTGTTACCATCTGACCGCAGGTGGTCCCTGCCTTAGGGGTATCCACTCTGCGGGGGTGGGGGGGAATTCAATAGAGTAGGAGAATGGACGCAACCTGGGTGTCTG